AATTATTTCTATCGCCGGACCTTCGGCCATCGTCATGATTAGGGTACGAGTAATCCGGCGAAGGACGACGATACCTGCCATTGCCGTTGCTCCTAGGGCTTCCACTCCGACTCCGGCTCCGGCTGCGGATAAAACTACGTTCGCGTCGCTGATATATTCGAGGCTCTGGGGAATGGCGGCCGTTGTCATGGTGGCCGGCGGTACGCCGGCGTTCGGGAATCTTTAAGGCTGATGAAAGTCTGCCCATTTGGGGATTTGAGAAGATCGGGAAAACGATTCCGGCTTAAGAATTTGAATAGAATTGACACGGGTAAAACCTCGGGTCAGATCTGAACAATTGCGTGTGACAATGTCAGCCCATTCATCCATTGGGAATGGGCCCATAATCATATGAATCCATTTTCCACTATTGAAAGCCCGTTTATCTGTTGGGTATTATTAGGCAATACCTGGCCCAATTATGCAGTTGTCTAATCTCTATTATATTTGACCATGCAATGCCATAGACGATGTACTAAAAGTCTAAATAAATAATATTGTGTACAATGATACGTTTAACAATGTATAAGTTATATTTTGTTTTATTTCAATACATGTTGTTATACCACAGATACTTGAACCGCTAGACCGCCCCTCTTCGAACCGAGTTGCTCCTCCTTGACCGCCGGTACCTGCAAAATACGCCGGGGGTGGTCCCGGCGCGAACACTCCGACGCTCAAGTCAGTGGTGGTCCAAAGAGAAAACGGCAGAATAACGAGAGGATTCGTATATGTGTGTTATGTAGAATGAATAAAATTGTCTCATTTTATAGATGAAGTTATGTAGAAGCTGAAGAGTTCTTATCATACTATGAGTCTTTCTCCAGGTTAGGTTAAAATTCTATGAGTCCTTGAGGGTGTGAACCTCTTCATGACTTGAGCACAAGTCCACTTTCGAGCTCTGGTCCCCTCAGTGGGACGTCCAGCTATTTAGGTGCCAAGGTGCTTGCCTAGCTCACGCCTACCAGAGCCTCCGCCTACCACCCATGACTCTACAAGTACCATGGACAGCGCCTACCTGATTGAACCACCCTACTAGGTGCGACTGAAACCCGGATCCTAATCGGTCCTCCATGAACCGCTGAACTACGATCACATCACATGCGTTTTACGTTATTCCAATAATTCAATCATTCAAATCTAAATGCTTACATTAATAAAACTAGCTCGTGTATCGCACATGTAACACAGTAGTAAATCGTGAAAATAGGGATGACATATGTTATTGTGTGGTGTCATCTTTCTCAATTTATTGTCGTGCTGTAAGATTATTATTTGATTATAAACATTACTATAAATTTTAAATTAAATTAATTTTGATAATACTGGCTTCATTTTTTGATGAATCAAAACTAGAGAATTTTCATACAATGCTATGGCCTTGTAGCTTGTAAAGCCAATCATTAGCGGGTAAAATAAATGTCCACATATAGCCCAATACCAGCCCAATATAAACTTCCACAAGGCCCAGCATTTGTTACAAAAACCCTAGGGTTAGATTCTCATCGACTTACAGAACTGAGCGCCTCGCGAGCGGAGAGTGGCAGAGCTTCATCGGCGCACGGCGTAAATCGTCTCAAACGACACCGTACTTAGCCGTATCCCTTTCCTGTTTTCCGATTTCATTTTACCTCCTGCTATAGCTGAAGAAATCACGAGTTTTCGCGCTACAGGTTGAAAATGTGCTGAGTTTAACAAGCTTGCTTTCTTTGTTTTGCAGAAAAATGGCGGAAAAAGCAGTGACCATCAGAACGAGGAAGTTCATGACGAACCGTCTCCTCTCTAGGAAACAATTCGTATGCCTATTACAGCTGATTTTGTAATTCTTTTTCTATTCGTTTCGATTTTGATTCATTTCATATTGTTCTTACTTTTATTGTTTTGTAGATCATTGACGTTTTGCATCCAGGAAGGGCGAATGTGTCTAAGGTTTGTCTGTTTTATGGATTGTCCTTTCATGTTGATTCGTTTTAGTTTTGTTTGATGAGAGATTGCTCTTTGTTTAGCATTTTAGCTGCATTTGTGTGTTAGTTAGTGTTTTGAAATGGAAAAAGGCACATGTAATATTGTTCATGTTGAAGAATGTTAATGAGATGAAAAAGGATAAATTTGTTAATTTATAAATAATATTATGAACTTTTCTCTATATCCCAGTAATGTAATGTGGTTATTTAGTATGTATCTGCAAATAAAAATGTGGTTAATCGTACTTATATATGATCTTTTGCTCGAAAAGTGAAATCATAGGAATGTACTGAAGGTTTACTTTATGTACCTTATCATTTTTCTGAAGGTTAATTGGTATGTATATGCAAAGAAAAATGTGGATAATGCTACTTATATAGGATCTTTTACTCGAAAAGTGAAATGATTGGAATGTACTGAAGGTTTACTTTCTTTGATTTGTCATTTTTTTTTGAAGGCTGAGTTGAAGGAGAAGTTGGCAAAGATGTACGAGGTTAAAGATTCGAATGCCATCTTTGTGTTCAAGTTCAGGACCCACTTTGGTGGAGGCAAATCTACGGGCTTTGGCTTGATCTATGATTCTGTTGAGAGTGCAAAGAAGTTTGAGCCTAAATACAGGCTTATCAGGGTAAATTTAGCTAGTCATTCTTATTGCTATATGTTTACTCCTCGAGATGTGAAACTTCATTATTAGTCTCTGATTACTTCCAATATATAGTGCTATGTTTCTTATATAGAATTTAGATGCTGGGGTGAAATTGCCTTGTTGTATTATTTTGCTGTGCCCTCTTTACATTTTAAGTCTTTTGGCGTGGGCAAATTTGTCATGATGGAGGATCAACCAAGTGGTACTGATATCCTTGATACTTCATTTACTTTGAAATGGATATTGGCTTTCGAGATTATGTTTTTTGAAAATATTGCTGATTCATACTTATTATGTGGGAATATTTATAAGGCTTTTTTGAATTTGTGACTTCAGTTGCACACTCGCCCATGAGATATATTCATCGGATAATCTGTTCCAAAGTTATTTATATTCACTGTGGTGTCATATATGTATTTCATTTGTTAGCAGTATGTAATTGACATCAGATATATTTGTCTGGAACATTTTTGTATTGCAGAATGGTCTTGACACTAAGGTTGAGAAGTCGAGGAAGCAGATGAAGGAAAGGAAAAACAGAGCAAAGAAAATCCGTGGTGTTAAGAAGGTATTGAGTCTATCTTACTTACCCTTTGTTTTGCTTATATTAGTGCTGGGACTGAAAACTTAAATATGAACTCAAATGGGTTTTCAATTTATCAAGAAAGACTTGTATTTGCTTTTGTTGGAACATGCCTGTTAAGATAATATACGAGCTATTTACCATCGTAATAATGTGGAAGCCGTTATTACATTCTTGATAAGTGCCTTTATGTTTTATTGAAATTTGCAGACAAAGGCTGGTGATGCTGGAAAGAAGAAATAAAAACTTCTCATGATTTTTACCCTTTTGGTTGTTCGACAAAGGCTTGTTCTTCTGTGACTTTAATTTCGGTATGACTTAGATTGATTATAGTTCTTCATCACTATTAAAAGTGCCACATTTTTGTGGAGGTTTTTCGGGATTGTGGTCTTGTTTTAATTATTTAGAGTCCATTTTGTTTCTGGAGATTTTTAAGTATCAGAGAACCTTAAGGTGTTTCATTCACTTTTCAATTTATACTCTTTGCTAAATGGTCTTGTTTGGAGAATCAGATTTATGCGTTTATAATCTTTTTCTCACGTCTCTTAAATGAGTAGGGTTTAATTTATTTATCTAAACATTAGCTTTAAATTTTGGTTTCAAGAGACTAAATATATTTTTGTAAGACAAGCGTATGAACATATTGTGTGATGATTTATATATTTTATAGAATCACAAGTAATGAAATCTTATACAAACATAGATTAAACAAAGAAGACATACGAGTTAACATATGTTGCATTAAATTCACATTTTACAGATTAAAAGAAAATTCACATTTATATTTACATGTTCATGTTATAACATGTTCAATTTCATGTTATATTTTATGTGAATTTAGCAATTTGATATATGAATTATAAATTACGCATGTGCAACACTTCCATGTTTTGTATTATGGTATTAAACATTGTTGCATTTTATGTGAATATACTTTTTACGTAAACAATAAATTCACAATGTAACACGTGGAATAAGCAAAAAATACATATGTTAATGACTAGGTTAAGTTATTAGATTAAATAAGGGTTATAACATATACTAGTATAACACCCGTGTATTACATTGGTGTTTGCTAATTTTTTTCTTAAAGTCTAAAAATTAATGAGAAAAAGTAGTCGAAAATTTAAATACTTTTTACAAAAATATATATATTATTATATATTTAGTATAACACTTTTTATTTGTGCGACTTACCTGTGTTATATGATAATATATTTTTAACTTACAACATATAACTAAATTAAACTTAAATATATCAATTGATAAATAATTTTATTTTTTTAATAAATTTTAATAAATATTATTATTTTTATTATTTATAAAGATAAATTTCATTTTATTTATTTCATATATACAATATGGATGTCAAATCGAAGAACATCAAAAGATGATTAATTTGATATATAATATGTGTAAAACCGATAAGGAATACAAAAGTTATCGACTTTTAAAATACATTTACAATTCAATATTTAATTGAAGGAAACAAATCAAAGTCAGGGATATATTCGTCACTTAGTGTCTCACTATGTAAAATTACAAATAATTAAAGGATTATATTATACAAGTGATATTAAAATACCTAATTTAGATAAATAATACTTATGGAATGTCCGAACCTATATTATTGATTATAATTATACAAATATTATTTGTCCAAACCTAATTACGAAGCATGATTCTTTGCCAAGTAGGATTCCGAAGCACCAGAAGCAGCCACGTAGGTTCAGCGCATTCGGGAATATATGGAGGATTATTATCTTATATACTAAATGCTTCACTTTTGTGTTATATTTTAATAATGTACTACCTCATATTTTTTTTAAATGTCACTTTAGTTTTTATCAACAATTAATTAAATAAATGACGTTCTTGATCTTTTATACATTTTTTTTACTATTACCCTCATCTAACTAATAAATATACTACGTATTTTCATATTCTCTATTCATCTTTTCAAAACATTCATCTCTATCCTCATTAATAAGAGTTATTATTGACAAAAAAAATTATTAATTATAATGCAACTTCTCAAAACGACACTTATTAAAAATAGGAAGAATTATAATTTTATAAATAAACAATAATGTTAAATTTATTTATCAAATTTTATAATTATAGAGGATATAAATTAACAACGATGTTATATTTTATAAATTAACAATAAAGTTTATATTTTATTTTGAATTATAATTATATTTATACAAATATTGACCAGTATATCGATATATAATTTAGGTTAAAAGTAACAAAATACAAAACGAAATATATCAATTGATAATTTATTAATTTAGTAAAAGTAAGTAGATGCAGATCATATAATACAAGAAAAAAAAAGTAAACCCAATCTTTATAATCAACCAATTAATGTTGACTCTTTAATACTATTGTCATACTCCTTTTTACTTTTGCCATATATCATCTCCATAGTCATGATTTTGTTAGATATTTTAACTAAACATTTTTTTCATCAGTTGTTTTAGATTTTAATAACAATTTAAACATAAATAGAGATTTTTTGAAATTATTATTTTATTAAGTTTTTTGTAAAATTTAAATTCAAATTTGAGTAAAATTTCACTCACATGTAAATATATATGTATGCAGTTTAAACACAAAACAAATCCAATGGTAAATAAATTAATATTCATAATTATTTACTACTTTTCAAAATGTCATATGAATATTTACAAATTTCGATTGACATTCTAATATTTTCTAAAACAACTCTACATTTTCTACATAAAATTCAAAAATACATAAATACATTTTATGAAATTTGGAATGATAGAAATGTACTAAAGGTTAACTAACTTTAATTTGTCATTTTTTGTGGAGGATGTTCCTGATTGTGGTCTTGTTTTAATTATTGAGAGTCCATTTTTGTTTCTAGAGATTCTTAAGTATGAGAACCTTAAGGTGTTTCATGTTACACAATGTTTGTGTTTAATTACACAGGAAACCTATGAACTGAAGATGATGATTTCAGTTATTACAAAGAGAACTAAAACATAATCAAAAAATACAGAAAAAAATGGAAAACGCCCCGTATATTGCTCTTTTCGCAAAACGAAAACGCCCCGTATACTGCTGACGGGTTCAGGCGTCTTGTCCCCAAAGATACAATGCTTTACATCTCGAACGTTGTAGCACACCAGGATTCGAGCTTCGGCGAAGTGGAATGAAGTCGAGAACATAACACTTTTGATATTATGCGTGAGACTTTTAGAGTATTCAGCATGCATGCAATGGTGTGCTTTCTTTGCAGCTCTAAGTCCTACTTATATGACTTTCACCTCTTGAAGGAAACCAACAGTCACTTAAGGCAGAGATAATGGGCAGAAACGTTTCAGGTGTTAATACACCATTAACCAGGAGTTAACACTATTAACCAGTAATTAACACCGTTAATACTACTCTACATGAACAGTCAGATGTCCAGGTTCATTGCCTCCACTTGAACATTCATAAATAAACAATAATGTTATATTTGATTTATCAAAGTTTATAACTAAGGAGGATATAAATTAACAACGATGTTATGTTTTATAAATCACTGCATAACCTTAAAACTAGAGAGGATACACATTAACAGAAACAAGCAAAATATAATTAGATTGTGTATTATATTTATTTATAAACATAGATTAAACAAAAAATGCTAAATACATCACTGAATAATTTAGTCAAAAAGTAAAAGAATCATAATTAGAATGTGGATTATAATTATATATATACATTCAAATATTAACTAGTATATCAATACATAATTTAGATAAAAAGTAACAATATACGAAAATGAATTGAAATAGAGAATTTATTAATATAGTAAAAGTAACGAGATACATATTATATAATTCAAAACTAGTATATCAATACATAATTTAGATAAAAATAACAATATAAGGAAACGACATGTAGTAAAAGCAACAAGATCATATATAATACGAAAAAAAAGCAAAGACCCAATCTTAATAAGCAAACAAAAAAATAGAATTCCTTATATATCTTCTCTGATTTTGTAAAAGATAACTAAACATTTTTTTCATTAGTTGTTTTGGATTTTAATAACAATTTAAAAATAGATAGAGATTTTTTGAAATTATTATTTTATTAAGTTTTTTGTAATTTTTAAATTGAAATTTGAGTAAAATTTCACTAACATGTAAATATATATGTATACAGTTTAAATACAAAACAAATCCAATGGTAAATAAATTAATATTCATAATTCTTTACTACTTTTCAAAATGTCATATGAATATTTACAAATTTCGATTAACATTCTAAATATTTTCTAAAGCACCTCTACATTTTCTACATAAAAATTCAAAAATACATAAATACATTTTATGAAAATCTCAAAAAAGAAATAAAAAAATAAATAAATTACGACACAAAATATTGGGGGCAAAACTGTAATCGCGCACTTCCCGCGACTATAAATAAAAAACCACGGTTTTAGGGTTTCCACCACCTCCATTCTAAGCGACACCTCTGAGCAGCCGTTGATTATCACAGCATTCTCCAGAGCTCGGTTCGAAACCCTAGCCATGGTAGTTCCTATATCTGAAACTCTTTTGAAACTGAGATCAGTTTTATCGCATGTTATTACACAGTCATTTGTAGCTCGATTGTCTTTTCGATTTGTGTTCTAATTTCCTGAAAATTTGCTTGCTGGGCGCAGTCGCTGGTAGCAAATGAGGATTTCCAGCACATTCTTCGTGTGCAGAACACGAACGTGGACGGGAAGCAGAAGATCATGTTCGCCCTGACCTCCATCAAGGGTATCGGCCGCCGTTTTGCCAACATCGTCTGTAAGAAGGCCGATGTCGACATGAACAAGAGGTACCCATTTCTTCATTCTTCGTCTTTGTTTTACATTTGTTCCAATTTCACCTTTTTTTTTGGCAATTGTCCAGAAGCCATGATACACTGTAATTGATTCATTTTGTAGTTAGCTCTTCTTCTGTTATAATTGTCGGTTTGTAACCTGCAATTGATGCACTTGTGAGGTGTATTACATTTCCTTTTGCTCTACTTTACCATTTGCCTCCAAAATGTTGTGTTTTGTCAAAGTGATATTTCGTTTCGATTGCGAAATGTTTGGTATGAATGCGCAACTAACCTAAAAACATCACTTAATTACTGATTCAACATTTTTTTATTGTCCTCTTATATTGCTGAACGAGTCATTACCTTCTCCAGCTGGCATAATTTACGCATCAGTTCATTTCTGTGTGGAGTGATATATATTGCGTTCCAAGTGCTTATTGACTTTGCAGTTGTGTGTACTTGAAGTCTTGGATAGGTCTAATGCTACTTTCACATTTTCTGTTAGTATCGTGTTCTAAAAACTCTTTTTTTGACATGTCTTGATTGCTGATAAGTTGTGTGATAATGGGTTTAGTATAAAACTTGTTGCCTCGCTTGTGGAATAACCAATTTTGTGTTTCAAAATCTGGTTATGAACCACAACAATATTCTTCATTCGACATATTTTCACCTCAAATGTGTTATTCTTTTGGCAATGCTCTTGAACAAGTAATTTGAAGTTGAACTCTTCATTTTCACAGGGCTGGTGAACTCTCGGCTGCTGAAATCGACAGCTTGATGGTAATTGTTGCAAACCCTCGCCAGTTCAAAATTCCCGATTGGTTCCTGAACAGAAAGAAGGATTACAAGGATGGTAAGTACTCTCAGGTGACTTCCAATGCCCTTGACATGAAGCTCAGGGATGATATTGAGCGTCTCAAGAAGATCAGGTTAGAAACTTTGTTCCGACTATTTTTCATTAGCTTTTTTTTTTTTTTTAATTCAATCAATTAATACATTCTTTTATGTGGTTTTTTATTTTTATTTTTATTTTTACAGGAACCACCGAGGTTTGCGTCACTATTGGGGCCTCCGAGTTCGTGGACAGCACACCAAGACAACCGGACGTAGGGGAAAGACTGTTGGTGTCTCCAAAAAGCGGTGAACTTTGTTTGTTTTGTTTATCTTTTCAAGTTTTCCGGTTTGAGTAATATTATTTTGTTCTAGAGTATGTTCTTTCCTTATTGTGTACCCAAGAAGTTTCATGTTCTGCCGGGTTATGTCATACTTCATTTTGGAACTTTCGAAGAAGTTTTGTGTTCCGATGAGACTCAATTTATTTGTGAGAGAATCTGAATTCATTAGGTTTATGTTTGTTGCTTGAGGTTCTGCTTCATTATGATAAATTGAGTTGCTATTTCTTCGGTTCTTTGTTGAAATTGAAGAGTTGAATTTTAGTGTGGGATCATTAGCTGTCACAAAATTTTACATAATATATACATGGATTAATATTCCATGATGTTACACATTATATCAACTTCAAAACCATTAATTTTGTATTCATCCATGATCTCCAGAATCTGGGTATTTTGTTCAAAAAAATTAATTGTAAACAGATAATTTTGCTTCTGTTTTCCTCATGTTTGATTTTTTTTCATTATTTTTCAAGTACCATTCCCTGTGTGCTGCTGATCCTGTTATACATATAATCTGATGTTATAGGCCCAGTTATGTAGTGCTCTAAGGCCCAATGTAGTATCTGACCCTTATCTAGAAATATTTGTATTCCTTGAACTTATAGTCGGCCCATTGTACAGTCTTCTAGTTCATTTGTATTCAATTTTAATAAATGAGTAAAATGTATTTTTTGTCCTGTATGTTTACCCCTCCAAACATTTTAGTCCTTTTCGAATTGTATTTTTTATTTGCAGTCCTATATGTTTGAAAAAAGGTTACAAAAATGTCATTTTCATACATAAGGGATGAAATTGGAACACCTTTTTGCAAAACATAAAGGATCTTTTGGTTGCGAAAAGGACTTTTATGTAAGCTTTTTTCAAACATATGAGACGAAAATTAAAAACACAATTTGAAGAAGACTAAAATGTTTGGAGGAGTAAACATAGAGGACGAAAAATGCATTTTACTCGTAATAAATTGTTATACATCACGTTTATATTGGGATCAAGCATATGAAAATAGGTGACTGTAAGGAAAATCTCTTTATCAATTTTTTTTTTTTTTAAAGAGATAACTCCTTTACTTTGTTGTAACTTATAATTACGAAATTCTCTATTAAGGCAGTTTTTTTTTTTTTAAAAAAAAAAAAAAATTTGTATGTATTATTTAATGTTCTCCTTTTTGCTTTTGTCAAATCATTTGCAGTTTTATTGTTATGAATAATTATGTTATAAATTGTAAGAGCATCCGCATCGGCTCTGTTAAATTGCCGTTTAAACGCCCCCAACTGTTCATTCGGATGCAGCTCATTCATTAAAAGGGGGGGCCCACTAACCCGTTGACTGGATTGAACGCCATTCAACCTTTTATCTTATTTTTTTTTGTAATTTTTTTTGTTTGTTTTAAATCATATTTTATTCAATATATGATGCGCATGCTTTTTTTCTTTTCTTTTTTTTTTTGTGTTTTTTGAAACAATTAATTATTTACTATTTTTTCTTTCTATATTCTTATATTTATTTATTTATTTTATCTATATCACACTTTTCAATATCGATAAATTTAAATTTTATTTTGTAGCTAGTGTTCTTTTATTTTCATGCATTTTAAATTTTTTATTATAATACAAGAATATTAAAATTTATTTTTATTGAGAATAATTATAAAAATATATTATATCACACTTTCCGATATCGATAAATTTAAATTTTATCTTGTAGTGATCTTTTATTTTTCCTGCATATTAAATTTATTATTATAATACAAAAATATTAAAATTTATTTTTATTGAGAATAATTATAAAAATATAGTAAATGAATGGATAATGGGTAGGGATGAAAACGGACGGAAACGGGCTGGAAACCCCCAAAACCGTTTCCGTTCCCACATGTTTTGACCGGGAACGGGAACGGGAACGGGAACGGGAAAGAACGGGAGCGGGAACGGATTGCAGGACATCCCGATATACGAAAACGAACTAATATGAACGGATATAATACCGGTAGCGGGCGATAACGGGCAATTAAACGCGGTATGACGATGACAAAAAACCACAATCATAAGTCCATAATTGACACAATAATAAATTTAAACAATATATATCTGTTATGAAAATGAAATTGTCGTCATTAAACAATAATAATAATAATAATAATAATAATAATAATAATAATAATAATAATAATAATAATAATAATAATAATAATTATTATTATTATTATTATTATTATTATTATTATTATTATTATTATTATTATTATTATTGTACTCGTCTCATGAATACCATTTGTGCATCATCGTCTTCTGACGGTAACCTGTGGTATTAAAATTAGTCTTAGTATACTTTTCACAATATATGTCTAATACAATATATATCTAAAATTAGCCTCTAAAATTAGTCTCTCTTATTATTATAATTATTATTATTATTATTTGAGTGTAAAAAACAACATATATAACATCACAGTACAATACCTATTTGGTCCCGTGAATTCTAAACGGGATATTCCCGCTAAAAAACGGGAAACCATAAAAACGGGCGGGAAACACCCCAAACCGTTTCCGTCCCGTTACCGTTTTTATCCGTCCCTATCCGTCCCGTTCCCGGAAAAAAATCGGAAATACAAAAACGAGCGGGTCAAATATGGGAACGGTTGCAGGACGGTACGGGATTTTCCCGTCCCGTTTTCATCCCTAATAATGGGTCTCACATATGTATTTAAATGAATGTGTAGGAATATGGGTGTGTGTTTAAATGAAGAGAGATTTAGTGGAAAGATGATGTGGAGATGAAGTGGATGAGAGAGAGTGTAAATTGTGATTGAATGAATGTTAATGAATGTAGTTAATCATGGAAGTATGAGCAAACTTGAAATTTTTGCGAATCCACTATTTAACGGTGTCCTAAACTGTGTAGCATTTGGATATAATTATTTCTAAGTATAGTTGTCATATAGGGAGATGTTACGGTTGCGTTACGGAATTCGTTAGGGTTTGTAACTGACGGTTATATTATGATCTAACGGTTACGAACTCCGACAAAATAGTTCTGTAACAAAACCGTAGCATTTATAATCACCTAACTTGTACGAATAACTAACCAATTCCAAGTAAGCAACTCACATGCGCTTCACTTTATTTATAAAGCCACATAACTGTCAATATTGAGAGTGACTTATCCCATATCCTCCTTTAAAAAAAAAATTAAATAAATAAAAGGGAAGTAAAATGCGATAATGAAAGTAACTAGTATTCGACCTGTGCATTTGCACAGATATGTAAATAAAGTATTGTGAATTATTTGTATTCATATAATGATTAATGATTTTTGCCAAATTTACAATTAAATGAGTTGAAATATTTATTTTTTTAAATTGTGTTTATCATATTGGATGTAATATATATTTTGATATGTATCTTTTTTTGTGAAATTATTTATTATTTATTTAAGAATTTCAAATACGATTTTTATTTTCCAAAAGAAGTTAATTTAAATGTAACCACAATAATAACATTCCGTTGCAGCCAGTTCGGATTTGGACAGTAGGCCTCCCAACTCGCTACAAGGCAAGAACCAACCACTATAAGTCAACAATCACATTAAATAGTCAATACATTATATGATCAGTAGTAAGTAAATGAAAAATTTAAAATGATATTTGTAATTTTGAAGTGATTAGTGTGTTGATTATTTAATAATTAAATGAGAGGTTTAATATAAAAAGTAACGGTTTTTTGAGGGAAAAAAATATATTGCCACATAGGTATAATTTAATAAGTTTTATTAAATTCTCATTAGCCAACAATTATATATATAGATTAGTTTACCACATTTTATATTATAAATTTTTTCAAGTATGCCATTTCAGTTTAAAATATGTATATATATGAAAAAAAAAAAAAAAAAAAAAAAAAAAAAACATAACAGTCATGCATAAAAATATAAAAATATGAAGAATTTTATTTTATTTTTTTCCCAGCTTCCACATTGTGTTTGAATTTACCGAAAACGCAATAAAATCAAGAAATTGAGGTAAAATGACAGTCAATATCTTTAAAATAACAGTCAATATCTTAGCATTAACAGTGAAAATGATTTTCGTAGTGCAATAGGCAAACTATAGTTATTTCCGGTTAGATAGAACAATTAATATGTCAATATCCAATTTATTATTATATCATGCAGCTGGATAAGGAAAAAAGAGATATATATATATAGCATTAATGAGTCTAATTGCGAAAACAAAAATAAATAAATTCTTCATGTGGAATGATATGGGACGACTGAAAATCATAATTCAAGACAACTTCGGGGCCAATAGTTATAGCTAACAATTCAGTATTCACATCCACAGCCTGACTGTTAGACGAATCGACCCATCATATACTTTTTTTTTTTTCGATAAAAAATGTAAAATTTGTACTGATAAACACCAAAATCATGCATATATGTTGAAAAAAGCACGGTTGCCTAATGGTTAGGTTTGACTAACAACACTCGTACATGCATAATATAGAGATTATTTGAAACACTTCTTATATGAAATGATGAAATAAGAATGAACTTATCCTAATTTGTTTCTCTAAAAAGTCAATTATACAGCAGTAAATGAAGAATACTTATGGAGATTTCCATTTTAATGATTTTTTTTTTTCAAAAGTGCTTCCAAACAAGAGCATATATATTGATAAATATGAATGCCTAACGGTTAAGCCCGACTGACAAGTCTTACGTAGATATTAAAAATACATTAAAGTTCTTGAACCCGACATTCCAAGACAGTCGAGAAGCGCATGTCCCGACGAGTCTCTTCCTCCTCCTTGACAAGGCTGACGAGGAGGTCGGCAAACGCCTCGACTATAAACTTGTGCGTGCTCGTCGGGTTGAGTGAGAGGTAGCACGTGAGGAGCTCGTGTAGGTATCCCCAATCCTCGCTCACGCCACAGAACTCGCGCGCCTCGACCATCTCCTGCATGGACCTGCGGAAGTCTGCAAACGGATCGGGCGAGTACGTGGTCACGGCTATCCCGACTCCCGGGTTCTCGGGAGACGACGACGACTCGATGGAGGAGTCGACGATGGAGTTGGAGCGACCGGGGGAGGAGAAGAAGAATCGTCGAGAGGCGGCGACGGTGGCAAAGTCGGGAGGCGGTGCGGTGGAGGCGGCGAGGAGGTTGTCGACGAGGCGGCGACTGCTGTGATTCCGAGATGGGAGGTTGTTGTGTTCGGGCGACGGTGGGGATTTCATCTTGGTGAAGCAAGAATTAAAATTTCTTGCCATTTTTTTTAAGTTTTTCTATTTATATGGATACATGTGATGATAATGAGCTTGAGAAGAGGTATTGAGAAAAGAATGGTTTGTTGGATAGTTGTATTGAGAAAGGAATTGTTAGTTATTTTGATGTGTTTTGTGTAGGTTTGTGTTGGAACTCAACTCTATTTATCTTGTGATTGGAAAATGATTATATTTTTGAAAAAAAAAAATGTGTGCATAATACATATGGTGATTTAGAATAAAACAAAATTAA